ACATTCCGTTTCCCTGTATCATTCAGTAACTCTACCATAATGAAGCTGGCAGTAGGGATATGTGTTTAACTTCAAATTTAGGATTTCATTCTTGAAATAGGCATCCTTGTCTACTGTTATATGTCTAGTTGTTAAAGTTTTGTCCCTTTCTGTAGATGGGATGCCCACTGAATATTACAGTTTGTCATTTTATTCTCTATGGTATAGGTAATATTTTGTATTCTTCTAAGCTACACCCACTCAAACAAAAACAGTTTTTTGCTGTTAAGAGTTATTGTATTTATGCAATCTGCCTTTCTTGGTCGGAAGGAAAATGTAGCAGAGAAAGAACCACATACTACCGCAGTGTGTTGTCACTTCTCATAAATATGAATACTTCCGTAGATTCTGTAATTTCACCAAATAAATGTTTATTGGTTTATTTTTCCTAAGCAAAACTCTTGCAGCCCTTAAAAATTATGATGTAGTTAGATTTACTGGTGTTAAGGTTTTTAACATATCAGGTAAGAAAATTATCAGGCAGCAAAATATTATGAATATTCTTACAGTACATTATAAATAAATTACATATGGATGTGTGAAATTAGAAGTAAGTGTATAATAATCTGTGAATATCCTTGGGCATGGGACAGAGTCTGGAGCCGAATATATGGATATGTTTATAGTGATTATTAGTGGAATTTTGCTGATTTCTGTTATTTAGGATATTCCTCCGTCTAGATTATCTAATTACAAACACTCTTATTTTGTTCTTAAGAGATGAGAAGACTACAGTACAAGTACTTACATTCAGATGAATTATAAAATTATCAGTCTCTCTATTGTTACAGGTATGCAAATGTGTTGTGCCAAACGGTAATAAAGGATTTTCTTTTCTTAATAAAGTCTCCTCTACAAGCCAGGCACTGCAGTAAGAACGTGAAATGATATACGGAACAGGTATTATTACTGCCATTATGCAAATGAGGAAGGAGCTCAGCGCGCTTCAGTCACTGGAATCCTACAGCCGGGCGGTGACAGCTGAGACACAGACCCGGTCTGACTCTGAACTCACTTTTGTGGTCTCTATCAGTCTTTCTGTAGACGCCTTGTCTGTCATTAGGGTGAAAAGGCTCGTGCGTGTGAGTGGGTTATAAAGTGAAGCTTTCGAAAGATGATCGCAGGGCGGCTGTGGGTTGGGAGCATCTTTCACTGCTCCCTTGTTTTCAGGCTGCTTTTCTTTTCTTTTTTTTAAATTAACTTAATTTTTAATGATGTTTTAGTAAACTAATTTTTTGTTAGGTACAGAGTCTCACTACAAGGCTGCTTTTCAACCAGACTCGAACCTTCTGTCTGACCTCATTGCCCTCAGCGTGGCCTCGGCAGGCCAGGCCAGTCTGGTAGGACTGTGGCCGTCACCTGCCTGTGTGTGCACCTCTAAGGACTCCGAGGCATCCCTGCAGATTTGGAGAAGCTGAGTCTGAGAATCTGCTTCCGGCTCGAGGGAGGTCTTAGGGAGCTGACTCCACACTGGTCCCCACAGCCACATGCCTACTTCCTCTCAAGAAGGAGGCAAGGAAGCAGCAGAACTCTTCCAACTGGTAGAAACACCCTAGAGGCTCAGGAAATCCGAGCAGCAGAACTCGGCAGTGGAGCAGCCTTGCCTCACAGCCCCCTAGACTTCCAAAGGCTTCGTGAAAACAGTTTCTGGAAGTTTTGAAAAAAACGGAATCTTGACCTGAGTTCCTTCTTCGGTTCATGAAACAGTCTCTCGTTGCCATTGCCTTCTCTGCCTCGGTCTCTCAGCCCTCTTCTGTCTGACACTCATATCATCTTGGTTCGGTCCATGCTTGGCGTGGGTTTTCAGTGTCCCGGACACCGCACGGCCTCTCCCAGGATCACCAGTAGAGTCTCTGCCAAGTCCACGTTCCCATGTGAGCAGAATTAGGGAAAGAACAAAGTGTAGTGTGCGGTGCCCTCTGGGCGCTTGTGGACATCCGCGTCAGCCCTGCGGCAGGCATGCAGGACAGGACGCTCTAAGAGACCTGCCCAAAGAGTTATTGCCTAAGCACACGTTCTGCAGTCCTTGTCATAAGGGTCACACTGCCCATCACAAACCAGTCACGGATGTGATTGTTTTCTGCATATTGGTCGTTTAAAGTTCTGTTTTTAAACTTCTGTTTTCATTCAGTGTGTCTCTGTGCAATCTCTAGGCTTTATACCTGCCCTGATTTAGCAAATGGGCTTCATTTCTTTTTCTTACATCTATTTTTCCTCTCCTAGTTTCCCAAAGAAATTAGACCAGCATCTTATGAGTGGAAAGAGGAAACTGCTGTAGGCACAGAGCGAGTGGTGCTTTCAATCCCACATCTCCTTTTGCCCGCGCCCCGATTTTGTCCGGTGCTATAAGGCACCAAGGAAGAGCACCGGGAAACATTGCTGCTGTTAATTTTCCTGCTGCTCAACCCAGGATTCTTTACCACTCTTTGATCCTTTTCACATAAGGGGTTGCCTCCCGGGTGTTCCTGCCACTTCTTTTTCATACTCCCATGTTTTCATCTTTTGGGTGATTACTGTCACCTTGTCCAGCTTGCAGAAAAGACAGGAGAGGAAGTTTCTCTCCTTCTGTGACTACTGCACAAGGAAACAGCCATGGGCAAAGGGAGGCCACCCACTTTGTTCATGTGGCCATGCTGTCCCATGGATACCGTGGCAGAATGTGCTAGGATATGCACCAAGGATGGGATCTTAGAGTCAGTCTGGCAAAGGCCCAATCTACAGGCCAGGCAGCTGAGGCCCAGAGCTCCACAAGTCATGTGTTTGTGCTGTCACAGGTGCAGTAGAACTGTGATCAGGAGAGGTCTTTGGCTCCCAGCTGCATGGTGATTTTTGAGTCCCCGGCTTCTTTCTGAGGACATAAATTTATATAGCTACTTTGACTCAATGTAATTCTAATAAATTAATGATAATGCTTCATTCCCCTAAGGCAAATGTCAGGAAAGAAGCTGATTAGCTATTTGACCTCCTAGTAATCAAACCTGGCTACCAAGAGGGGCTGGCAGAGGGAGAGCAGCCAGAACACTTCCACTAAGGACCTCGTGCAAGGGGCACATCATCTCCTGGGCTTTTCTGGACCTCTGCATCTGCAGTCTTGTTGTTTGCTGAGGCTTTGTGGCACATCTGGTTTACAACTAAAAGCCCCTATGTACCTGCAGGGCTGTGCCAGCCAGCTGCAGACTTGACCAGCCCTGCGGGGAGGAGACACCTGCATGGGTGTGGGGACCAGGGCCCCTGTGGCACACAGCTCATTGGCCCCGCGGTCTTTATGCCTTTGAGATGAACATTTTCTTCAGTAAGAAATGTGGTTTCTATGTGAGAGCAGTCAGGTGGTGAAGTTGAGACAGGTGGGAAGGCAGAGTTCTCCAGGGGAACTGGGAAAGGGAGGCCTGCCTGGGACACTTCCAAGAGTCCTGGGCTAGACCAGGCTATAGGTCCTATTCAGTTATGCTAGTGAGGTGGGGCTCAGTGCTTGCAAAGCATTTCATGTCACCTAAGGATTACTCGAGGTGCAGTATTAAGAGCCAGCATCCATGGTTTTAGCACATTTGTCAGCTCAACCACTTACTCTTAACCATTAGAAACTACTCTTCAGCATGACTAGTCAATACTATGAAACTTAATATGGCTCCTTAGCCACAGAGACAGTCCGTTTCCCACCAGGCAGAGACAGGAACTTAGAACATCACCTGAGTGTTGATCACATTACTCCTATCCCTGGGTTGGTCCCTGAAAAATGTGTGTTTCTTAGAAATGTATCAGCTCTTGTCGCTGTGACAGAATACCTGAGCTAATTAACATAAAAGGAGGGAAGATGTGTTGTGGCCCACATTTTGATAGGTTTAGTCCGTGGTTGATTGGCTCTGTTGCACTGGGGCCTCTGGTGAGGCAGCCCTTCAGCACAGGAAGAGCACAGTGGACCAAACTTCTCCTTTTGCAGTGATTAGGAAGCAAAAGCCAACAGGGAAGGGGCCCTCATCCCCTTCAGGAGCCCACCTCCAATGACCTGCCTTTCTACCTGGCCCCTCCTAAAGCTTCCACAGGACAGTAGGGTAGGGACCAAACTTTAGCACGTAGGTCTTTGTGGGATAGTGCAGGTTGAATCTTTGTGAAGTGTGGACTTGAGGGTTTCCATTTCCCCATCTTATCCGAGAGAAGACCAGGACATGTGTCCCTAGACTAAGTGTCCCATAGCATAAGACAGTACACTGAGGAAATCTGAACATTTCTGTAGACTGAAGTGATTAATAAGACTGAACAACAGTGAAGGGCCTTAGGAAAGAGGAGAAATGCAAAACTCCATACCTCCATTGTACTAATCTTTGGGCAAAGAATCAACTGGTAAAGAAGGGTCAAAGCAAAAGATGGGCAAAGGCCTGAAGGCAGGACCCCCCTAAGCTCACAAAAGCTGTGTTTCTTGCTGGGGTCTGGAGAAGTTTGATGTGGACACTCGGAAGGCATTAAATTATTACCTGAATTATCACAAGCCATTTGTTTTCTGCCAAATAGGACTGAACCCATGAGTTTTCCCCCAAAAAGCTGCTCAGAGGCTGGGCCCCAGGAAGTGCACCTTGAAGAGCAGGAGTCACCGGGGCCCACTTCGCCATGTGCAAAGGACTGGACCTGGCCCAGTGCTCCTCCTGTTTCTGAGCTCCAACAGCACTCACCCTGATGGCAGCCCTTTAAGTGGAATCTAGGCTTTTGCCTACCCCAGTTCTGTTTGCTGGAGGCTGAGCAGTGGCCGCGGCATGTATTGGTTCCATAGCAACATGTCTGCACGGCCTGAAAGCATAGCATGCCTGTGCAGCCTGCGCGTCCTGGGCAGGAGGAACACAGCCCTGGTACCTCTTGCTTTCCGGTTTGCCCCCTGCCTTTCCCTCCTGGGCCTGCAGAAGCATAGGGAGCACAGCTGTGGCGTCACTGCTAACTCTTCGAGCTGTTAATCCTTCTCTGTCCCCCTCCAGTTTAGGCCTTGCAGGGGAGTGGGCAGGGCCCGTGGTCCCATCCTGCAGTCTCTGAATGCAACAGCAGCATGGAGAACCTCCCTGTCTCAGCCCAAAGGTAGGGAGAGAGCTCACGCTTTGTTGGGGCTGCGCGAGGACACGCGGCGCTCGCTGCTTTCCCTCCTGGAGTTTCACTGCAGTGACAGTTTCTAACTGCAGCTCCTCCACTGATGTGTTCCTGCAGCTGTCACATGTCTTGATATTTGCCACATGTCACATCCTTTATGAGACCATGGCAGGGCACGCTTACTTCAGCCAGTGCTGTTTTCCTCCAAACTTCGGAAACATTTGAAAAAAATCTTTGCCACCCACTTGACACATGTCTTGTGTCTCCTCTTTCGAAATACGTGAGCCATTTTTTTAGGCAGAGATGTGGAGAAAGAGCCCTTGAACATTAGGAGCCATGCATCTCCTTTTGCATCTTTTATTTTAAAATTCTCTAATGCCTGTGAGGGTAACAATACCATCATACTTGTTAAGATAATGTCATATTTTTATTCCGTCTCCCAAGGAAATTATGATGTCAGTATGTGAGTATATTGGAAATATTTTCAAATTTTTTGAAAAAGTATAACTTCAAAAAAGTTGATTTTTTCCTAACAGGGTATCCCAGTGACTTTTCTCATTGCTGGGACAAAATACCCAGCTCTATTAAGTTAAAGGCAGCAACATTTACCTTCGCTCACAGTTTGTAGAGGTTTCAGTCCACAGTCAGCTGGTTCCAAGGCAAGGAGCCACAACAGAGGAGAAACAGTCCATGGCAGGGCAGGCAGGAAGCACCGCGCCTGCCTTCTAGTCTGTCCCTTTTATCCCTTCAAGCTAGAAGCTTCCAGGGTAGTGCCACCCACACCCACAGTGTGCCTTCTGTTATCCACGCCCAGAACTATGCTAACCCCATTTAGTTATCACATTCTCTTAATCCCAGTATTGCCCCTACTAGATCCACCCATCTCGGAAAAGCACCACCCATGAGCCCTGAAGCTCTGGGGAAACATCCACAGGCAAACCTAACACAGGGGTTAAAAAGTAGATGTGAAGGCCCAAGGTAAGCCCACACAGAGATTTCACTTTCTTTGTCATCCTCTCTGTGGCCCACACGTTATGCTGGCTCTGAGCTCACTGTTTTTCCCTCTCCACCTCCCAGCAGTCATTGTTATTCTATCTGCCTTATGGGCCAGACTTCTCTGTCTTGCAGAGATTTGAGGAGTTTTCATTAAGTTCACAGAAGGGATAAATCAGGATAGTGATTCCTTATTTAGTTTTGAGCTTGGGTAGAAGAAGTTTTTCTCCTATGAAAACTTTTACCTTAAAAGCATTTTCTTCCCTTGCTGAGATCTGAGCCAACTGAGAAACAAGACAGTGCTCATAGGGCAGGTGGGAGCACCCATGTGGTTGTGAGCACTAAGGAAGCCGTTGTGGCTGGGCGGTGGTCAGAAGGGCCACGCCATCTCCATTGTTCCCAGTTCCCCACATTAGGCCTGGTAAGTAGGAAAGTTGTGAGCGTGCAGAGAAAGAAAGAAGGAGAAGGAAGCTGGAATCTTTTTTTATTGCCTCTACCCAGTGCAGGTATCACCATGGAGGGGCAGGCATGGGCCAGGTTGGCTTTAGCTCCAGTGAGGTCATGGTTTGCACCCCTTTAGGAAGAGAGAGAGAGACAGACAGACAGACAGA